GTTAGTTATCCTGATGAACTTCTTATCTCTACTAAATAGCTGACATCTGATGGGGTCGCTTTCAGTTGCATCGAAACTGAAATGAAAGTAGATCCGAGAGACGGACTAAAAAGCCGAGAGGATTATTATGTCCATAAGATTCATAGACTTATTATTTTTTTCTAATTGATTCATTGATTAGCTATTTGTTTTTCAACTTTCGCAGACTTTAATCAAAGGCTTTTTGAACCAACTCGTGATATTTGGAACTGATCATGACATGTTTATGTAATACATTTGACAAATGTAGCTAAAAAAGATTTTGGGTAGGCTGTATGTTCATGACACACCATAAACATCCCCTAGTGGGTCGAGAGCTATTCTGATATCGATGATTCTGTCCTTAGGACTTCATTCATTCAATCGTTGCAAAAAAGAGGATGATAATTGAATCAGTGGATAGAAATTACTCTTACGCACCACCAAAATGGCGAATTGCTAAGGTTTTAGAAACTACAAACCATGCGTTTGTTAGATGATTCCCCTCAAAACAAACTATGCGAGCCCATGCGCTGAGCGATCTCCTGACTTCAGTGGAGAGTGTGAAAAAAAACCTCGTCCAGCATCTAAAAATATTCACGAGGAAATATCAGGGCCAGCAAAACAAATCATTCGATGAGGAAACTGAGTGATATTCTTCTGAAAACAACTGCAATTTGAATCCGTAACCCTCTATCAGAGCAGACACAGTTGCAGGTTAGGGAAGAGGAGACGAGAACGTGGAAATAATCTGACTAACGAGCGAATTACTGAGTGAGGATCGAATTCCAGGTTCATTTCAGTCACGGCAGTGCTAGCTAACGAGGCTTTCTGGCGTTTTTCGATTTCTCCATTACATGGGCAAATCAAATTTATCCCTATAATGTTAAAAAGAATCGCACTGCAGAAGGCTACCTTCCATCCATTAATGACTTAAAATTGGATACCTATCAGGTTATGGAATAATTCGCTCGTTTCTCTTACAAACTGAACATAAACTGAAAAAGAAAGAAACATTCTTATGGGGCTACGTTAGACTTAAGTAATGTATACTTTAGAAAGTCTCGCTAACATGACCAACGTCATAAAACATCCCTATTTTTTTTAATCAGAAGGGTTTGGCTCCCAGTCTGCAGATTTTTAAAACCGTGATGTTAATCAATCAGCAGCTTCTTGTTTTCGCCATTTGTCTGGCTCTCAGCGTCATTGGTAATGACGCAAGAACTCTCACAGGTTTGGAAATTAAGCAAGCAAAATTCTGCGGTAAGATTAATTAATTAATGATAATAATGATGATGATGATAATAATGATAGCGATGATGATGGTGACTAAAAACAATGTTATAATCACAGCGAAAAAATCTTCCCAGCACCCTTTGCACCTGGAAAATTGCATGTCAAATAACTTTGTCAGTTTCTAGTCCGCAAGGGTACTACAATATAGGAAAATAACTATTCCCATAACATATATATAGTTTCGCTAGCACGGCGTAGAGAAATAAGCTGTCCAATCTGAGGTGGGGACTCCAAGAGAGTTCAGAGATAAGAATCATGAGTTAAATATTTGGCCAGTTTGCCAGTCGATCCGGCACTAAATCAGGTTTTCTTGTTTTTGAGAAATAGGAATACTCAGTGGAGTTTTGACGGAAACAACTGACACCTGGTCTCTTACTTATCTGCCCGAAATCTATTATGAGAAAAAAATAATAAAAGAATTCGATTTTTCAGCTCTTGCCAGTCGATGCTCGGTTTTTTCCTGACAGTTTTTTAGAGGATCCGTTTCCCCTAAACACAGTTATGACCTGCGATTCCATTTTCAGGTTTATTATATCCGAACTTTTTCGCAGATCCACATGACGAGACAGCAAAGATTCAAATTTACCCATGGCCTTTCATACCATCTGGAAAACGTTGCAACATCAGCCTGACATTCATCCCTGGTAAGCTAACAACGAATTTAACTGTAACTACTGATTGAAAATTAAAAATGGACAACGTGATGCTTCCATGGCAACCGCTTTCGAAAAAAAAAAAAGAGGCAATACGGATATTTTTACGAGCATATCACATGCAGCAGAAGGTGAATTCTGTGTTATTTTATCGTAGTTACTGGTGAAAATGTCCAAAATAAAGTAATACAGGGGCCTTATGCATCAGCGATGGCTAAGCCTAAGTCGACATCATTTTCTCTAAAAATATTGAATTTTATTGAGAATTTCGTAATTATGATTAATATAACCCTTAATCGTTTAGCGTTTTCCAAAAACAAGATGGATATTTAATGCTGCTGTTTTGCAGAAGACGGCTAAGAAATGTTAAACGATTCACAATGCCCGTACAAAACCGGCATACTTTGCTCATTTAATCTTTTGTTTGGCAAAAGAATGTTCTTGTTGCCGCTACGTTGTCGTCGGTGTTTGCGAAAGGTTGTGACGTAGCCCTCGCGACTTTCTCACTCATATCTTTGGCTCTAACAGCAGTAGACGTTTTTGCTGCGACGCTGGAGGCTGAGCTGACTTGGGAACCAGAATCAGACTACCCCTTTGTGCAGAGATATAGGTATTATGTCTGTCCACGATTTCCAGAAATGTGCAGTTTGCCTGCTGGTGGTAAGTGGCCTTTGGGAAGTAAGAATAGCCAATAGCCTGGGTTGATAAAAGCACTTGAGTCATTTAGTTAGTTATTTTACCGTAGAGACTAGGTGAAAGTCTTTCATTTATGCAAGAATGTTTATCTAACGAAATTATTGCTTTGTAGTCTGTTTCTCTTTTTCCGATTAATGTACATCCTTATTTATTTTGTCTTATGCACCATGGAAATATCACCGCCCTGGTCATATTTGATTCTGCAGAAACGAGTGCCTATGAGCCGGCTTTTGACTTGATTGCCTAAATCGCGATTTATTTGGTTTAATTTGGGCAACCGTCTGCTTGAGTGCGTTTTTCGATAAAATTCAGGAATAAAATGACATCGTCACGACGACGAAAGGAAAGTAAATTCCATAGATAGATTATTTTAACGCGAAATTAACGCGTAATTAATCATCTATCCGGTTTTCTTGGAGGATATGCAATCCAACAACATTTTTTTAAAGAAAAATACTGAAATAGTTCGTGCTGAAGCAATGAAGTGATTGGGAACTAACTCATATGCAGACCTAACCTTTTACCTGACTCTACGATGACCTTTTGTTATAAATTATTATTTTTATATAAATCTAACGAACAAAAATATCCTTGAAAACTTACTGAATTTACAACGGTCACGGAGTTCTATTTTGACGGTGATGAACTCTTGGCTAATGCGCTTTTCATTACACGGGTCTTAATCCTAAAAATATCAGATTTTTGAGGGGGCCTATTGACATCACTAGGATTGTGTATTCTTCAGATTTATTTTACATATTACGATTTTACTTGCGCCACCCACCCACTCAGCGAATTTCAAGACATGAAAAGCCAAAATTATGCAATGCTCCCTCAGAAATGTTTCATTGCTCTTCGAGCCACCTTTGCGTTGAGTTTTTATTGGTTCATTACATTTCATATACTTTATCAATAGATATAATGATTATTCTGCTCCAGTGATTACAACATTCAATTGCACATCGTTCTAATTCCTCATTCTAATCTTATTTACTATTATAAATGTTATTCTCTTCACAACGTTTAAATGTTGCTGTTGTCGTAATTTTTTCGTAGAGACTCATGTCTGGACGCTTTCTGATGTAATGACTTCATTGCCACCAGGTTTCAAGGTAATTAATGTATGATTATACCGTCAACTCTCTTTAAAGCATACTAACTCCAGCTTTCCTCCCAATGGAGGTGTCAAACTTATAGAGGGACAAAAATACAGGGATATCCAGGGAACACATTCCCAAAAAGGACCATTATATGACGAATTGTCGCTTGATATAACGTGTTTGTTGACCATTACTCAGTATTACGGTTAGGAAGGATACCAGCCACAATCTAAATAAGCTATTAACCATTCCTATCGGCCAGCAAAGTCACTCCTCGGTAATTTGCAGATAACGCAACAAGCTAGTCTTTCTGTTAAGCTGACACTGATCAGTGACATTAGAACTTCAGTGGATCTTGCTCCAGGCAACGCCGATAGAATTATTTCCATTGGTTAATTTCCAAGAACGAAAACAAAAAAAACACTTAATTTTCTATATTGGAGAGACTTTAAGTCTTGGAAACGCTGGAGGATTCTAAGCAAGTTTAGAATTACATTTTCCTCGTTCAAGTGCCAAAACGCAAAGACTCAAGAAATACATGTGCAATGTAAATTATATTACTTGTTTATCAAGTTCGCCACTGGAATAGCTTGTAGAAGAATAAGAGTGTGTCCATGAGAAAATCAGGCAGGAGGCGATACAGCTTAAATCACTGATTTTGCTCAACCTTGGCAAAAATGTTGGGTTTCGTGAGTAAATGATTATCGCGGAAACAGTTGGTCAAAACATTTTATTCCCTTTAGGTTACAGGTGGACCCCCTGCAAAAATGGCCCTTTGACACTAATTTCTGCATATTTAGTATTTCTATAACANACAAAAAAACATTTAATTTTCTATATTGGAGAGACCTTAAGTCTTGGAAACGCTGGAGGATTCTAAGCAAGTTTGGAACTAGATTTTCCTCGTTCAAGTGCCAAAACGCAAAGACTCAAGCAATACATGTGCAATGTACTTTATATTACTCGTTTATCACGTTCTCCACTGGAATAGCTTGTAGGAGAATAAGAGTGTGTCCATGAGAAAATCAGGCAGGAGGCGATACAGCTTAAATCACCGATTCTGCTCAAACTTGGCAAAAATGTTGGGTTTCATGAGTAAATGATTATCGCGAAAACAGTTGGTCAAAATATTTTATTCCCTTTAAGTTACAGGTGGACCCCCTGCAAAAATGGCCCTTTGACACTAATTTCTGCATATTTAGTATTTCTATAACAAGGAAGGCCAGATGAAAATGAAGTCCACTAAATAACATTCTAAAATTCTCAGTCTCAAAGCAAAGATATTCATTTGAACTAAGCAATTTGATTTTTCTCCATGGCTTCATCTTAATTAAGGTGCATATTTCATGTTGTTGGAAATAGGCTATAACAGATGGCAAGTATCTGCAATGAGCAAAAGCAAACACGCATTATTCTAATCATCTTTATATGTAGGTTAGATATCAGCGTATCCACTCTCACTAAACATGCCCAGTAGTTTGGCAAATACCCTCACATAAAGTGTGTTCATTGTCATGCATGTTTGAATTATGACTGACAATGCAGTTTCTCACGCTTCTTTTTTTTCCTCCTTTTTCTTTTTCAAATATTTAGATGACCACCAGGGTAGTAATTCAAATTTACAACGAGGATCACATCATGTTTGCAGGCACTGAAATAGTGGCTACGACGCACTAGCAAACGATCAGGAAGATTCTGCTGTTTGAATGGCGAAACGTTAAAGGCGAAAGTTTGACAATTTCAAAGTTTATTACTGTTAAACATTACAATTCTCTTTTCTGCATGTCTTTTCAATCCTAATAAAACACGGCA